CGATCGGAGGTGATGGAGCGAGGGACACCGTGGAGGCAAACAATATCACGAAAGAACAGCAACACCACATGTTTAGCACCCGCAGTCTTGCGGCAGGCAACAAAATGGGCCATTTTAGAGAAACGATCAACCACGACCATGATGGAATCCACATGACGAGGAGTAGTCGGAAGGCCCAAGACAAACTCCATACTCACATCCTCCCAAATATTTTCAGGAATTGGGAGAGGCGTGTAGAGGCCGGTGTTTTGCGAGTGCCCCTTGGCTTGCTGGCAAATGGAACACCTTGCAACGAACCGAGAAACATCCCTGCGGAGATGAGGCCAATAAAAAGGGGCTTCCAACAGAGCAACTGTTTTGTCCCTGCCGGTGTGAGCAGCGAGACCCCCGGCGTGCAGATTGCGGATGAGGAATTCCCGGAGAGAAGTGTTTGGCACGCAAAGCTGATTGCTGCGGAACAGAAATCCATCCACCAAAATGAAGTCCCCGGGAGCAGCATGATTGGTACAAGCGGTCCAAATTTTGCCAAAATGGGCATCCGCCTGGTATTGGTCGTGGAGACTATCAAAACAAGTGATTAAGGACTGCAAGGTGGTGAGGAGACAATGGCGCCGGCTAAGAGCGTCCGCAACTTTGTTGAGGGGCCAGCCCGGTGTTTGAACACAAAGGTGAATTTTTGAAGGAACATGATCCATCGGGCGTGCATACGGTTGTTGGACTTTTGCGAATTGATGTATTGGAGGGCATGGTGGTCACTGAAAAGAATAAATTCACGGTGGAGATGGTAGTGCTCCCACTTTTGGAAATCACAGACCATGGCGTAGAGTTCCTGTTCATAAGTAGACCACTTGCGACGAGCTTCGCTCAATTTCTCTCTAAAATACTCGATGGGACGACCTTCTTGGAGTAAGACAGCATCAATGCCATACATCAAAGCGTCAGTCTCAACCTCGAAAGGTTTGTCGAAGTCCGGAAGGGCGAGAACAGGTGCGGAACTAAGCTTGTTCTTAAGCAATTGGAAGCTGGCTTCCTGTTCCGGGCCCCAATGAAACCTGTCAGTCTTGGTGCATTCTGTAAGTGGCACGGCAATGGTGTTAAACCCCGAATAAAGCAGCGATAAAATGTTGCAAGGCTGTGGAAGCTACGGACATCATAAATGCTTTTCGGTGTTGGCCAGTCTTGGATAGCCTGAAATTTGGAGGAGTCCACAGCGATGCCATTCTTGCCAACAATGAAACCAAGGAATGGAAACTCTTCCGCCCAAAAAACGCATTTGCCCACATTGAGGTAGAGCTTGCGGTCGCGGAGGGTCGAGAAGACGGCGCGCATATGGGATAAATGGGAGGACTCATCGGGGCTATAGATAAGGATGTCGTCGAAGTAGACCACCACAAATTTGCCGACAAAGGGCTTGGGGGAATTGCATAAGTCAAATGGCATGACTTGCCATTCATAAAGACCTTCGCGGGTCTTAAAAGCTGTCTTCCATTCATCTCTCGGGCGGATGCAGATTTGATGGTAGCTGCTACGCAAGTCAAGCTTAGAAAATAGGCGAGCACCGGAAAGCTTGTCAAGCATGTCATCGAGCCGCGGAATTGGGAAGCGGTATTTGATGGTAATCTTATTAATGGCACAACTATCGACACACATGCGCCACGAACCATCCTTCTTGGGCATAAGGAGGGCGGGAACTGCACATGGACTAATGCTTGGGCGGACTAATTGCTTCTTTAGATGATCATTGACAATTTCTTGCAAAATGGCATGTTCCTGAGGGCTCATACGATAATGCGGGAGATTTGGGAGGCTAGCACCGGGAACAAGGTCGATGTGATGCGGAATTGTCCGCATTGGAGGGAGTGAATTTGGTAACTCGGCGGGTGCTGGGTCGTGGAACTCGGCTAAGAGGTCTTGAAAAGCAAGTGGGGTGGATTTGTGAGCCTCAGCCACAAATAAAGCAAAAGCAAAAGTGGACTCCTTAAAAGTTTGGATGAAGGCAGCTCCGGATACGGCTAGTAGGGTGGCTGGCGGTGGAGAGTCATGAGCGGCAGTGGGTGAGGTAGGGACAAGAGCAATTTTGCGACCGTGCCACTCAAAGAGATATTTATTCTCCTTGCATCGGTGAATGGCATCAACGTCATATTGCTATGGCAGGCATCCATTTCGAGCACATGCCAGGTAACTTCATCTTGGTACACTTTGCCAATGGAAAAGAGGACATGGCACACTTCGAGCACCTTAGTTGTCACACCCTTTTTAATCCACCCAATTTTGTAAGGACATGGATGCTTTTCAGTTTTGAGGCCGAGAACTTTAACAAGGGATTTGGAGACAACATTCTTAGAGCTGTCGCTGTCAATGATGACATTGCACACTTTAGCATTAATGGTGCACCGAGTACAAAAGATAGCATTGCGTTGAGCCATTTGGGCTTGTGTCGGTGCATAGAGGAGCTTTTGAAGTATGCAAACCACTTCCTCTCCTTCATCGCCTTGAACCTCTTCTGCCACATCAAATTCATTCCCGTTCCCCAAATTCCTCGGCAACTTCTTCATCATCTCCCATGTAACCAAGCTGCCGCCGCTGTGGACAGTCATTCGAGCGATGGCCTGGTTGTTGGCAACGAAAGCACTTATCCAGGAAGGGGCGAGCATATGGGTTAGGGTGGGAGGTGGTTGCTGCCTTGCCGCGGTCTGTAGAGGCTGGATTATGCTTCGTGGGGGATGGTGAGGAGACTGAGTTCAAGGCGGGGGTCGACTTGCTGCGTTCGAGCGGCGATGGTGGGGGCATCCGCCGAAAAGAGGAGGCTCGGGCCGAAGAACGAGTGAGTTGTTCCTCAGCTCGTTGAGAGTCACGAGTTTCACCTGCTGATTAGGGGGCACTCCCATATAATCGAAGAAGGCATCGACAGTTTTTAGCCAGTCGAGGAATTCCTCGATTTGTAGGTACCCATCAATTTTTAATTTGAATTCACGGGAACCAGAATAAGGAGAAGGTCTAAGATAGTTGCCCATATGCCTGGGCGGTTGAAACGCCCAGGCTTCCACTTCATCTTCGCTGGAAGAATCGAGTAGCTTCGGTAGGTTTTGACGTGGGAGTCCTCGCGGCAGATCTTGACAGAGGAAGGGAGCCGTCAATGGTTGGGTGGTTGCCGGTGATGGACCCTCGTAGGAGCTGGCTGAAAGCCTGGTGGAGGTCAATCTTGAGTTCAAGAGCGTGGATCGCCGCCCAAAGATCTTGGGTGTCGGTGGCGTCGTGCCGCCTAGCGTTTGGACTTCCGCCACCATCTGCCATCAAGACCCCAATCTGGCGTAGGAGCCAATCAGGATGCCGTTAATCAGACAAACCGAGAAGAATTGGAATAGAAACACGACCTAAACCAAGAGAAATCAACAAGCAAAGAAAAGGAAATAAGGAGCGCTAAGTTCAATTTCATTCAACAAAGTCCCAAGCTGTGTTAACAGTCTCGTTCTCAGCCTTTGTACCAGAGGTACCCCCACGAAAGCAAGAGAAAATTTGACAAAAGAGATCGGAACAAAATAGCAATTGAGGACGTAGAACATTTTTTTTTTTTTTTTTTTTTTATAACAAAAACACTTTAACGTGTATTTTTCGTGTCAAAAAATGAGCTTTATTTTAATTTATGTGTATGGATCACTTCAAAAAACCTCCCTCCCTCCCTTAGAATAGAACAAACTGACCCTCAAGTACTTCCCTCTTCTCTCTTGCCGACCCTCAACATCCCTTTTCTCTCTTGCCGACGAACCGACCCTCAACTTCCCTCTCCGCTTTTCTCTCGCCGATGACCACCCTCCCTCTCCGCTTCTCTCCGCTGACTAGACCACCCTCCCATCGCCGACCGACCACCCTCCCATCAAACCCCAACCGACCCTCCCTCTCCGGTTCTCTCTCGCACCACCCTCCAATCGCCGACCGACCACCCTCCCATCCAACCCCGACCCTTTCCAATTCTCTCTTGCACCACCCTCCCATCGCCGACCGACCACCTTCCCTCTCCTCTTCTCTCCGCATACCAACCACCCTCCCATCACCGACTGACCACCCTCCCATCGCCGACCGACCACCCTCCCATCCAACCCCGACTGACCCTCCCTCTCCAGTTCTCTCTCACACCACCCTCCCATCGCCGACCGACCACCCTCCCTCTCTGCTTCTATCTCGCCGACCAGACCATAAGCCTCTGTCTGCTTCTCTATCTCCACCGGCGACTTCCACGATTGAAATGGCATTACAAAGCAGCTCTTCTTCCTCAACTGAGACGGCCATTCCACAAACCCCTGTCGACGAGGCAACGAAATATGCTCTCCCTCAGGTAACATTAAGGTTTTATTCTCTGATTTAACATTAAGGTTTTATTGTTGTTTTATTTTTTTAATACATTTTTACAAGAACAAAAACTTAATATAAGAAAACAAGAATATACATTAATGTGTGCTGCGTGGTCTGTTCGTAGTCGGTTCTTAACAAGTTTTGGTTCGTCTGTGGTCTGTTCATAGTCGATTTTGGTACACGGTTGGTTCTTGGTCGGTTCTAGTTGGGTTTGAGGTTGGTTCTAGTCGATTTGGTCGATTCTAGTCGGGTAAGAAGTCGATTAAGGGTCGGTTCTAGTTGGGTCTGGTTAGGCACGATCAGTTCATGGTTGGTTCTAGGTCGGTTTGGTCGGTTCTAGGTCAGTTCAATCGGTTCTAGGTCAATTCAGTCGGTTCTAATAAGTTTGGTCAGTTCTAGGTCGGTTCGGTCAGTTCTAGTCGGGTTTGCTCAGTTCTAGGTTAGTTCATGGTCGGTTCTAGTAGGGTCTGGTTAGGCGCGGCCAATTCTAGGTCGGTTCTAGGTCGGTTCTAGTCGGGTTTGCTCAGTTTTAGGTCGATTCTGTCGGTTCTAGTTGGGTCTTGTCGGTTCTGGTTAGTTCTGGTCGTTCTGGTCGGTTCTGTCATTTTGGTCGGTTCTGACCAATGTGTTTTTTCTTTTCTCAAAATGACATGCCGAAGTACAACCCAGATGAACTTCCTGGGATTAGACAACTAAGGATGGTCATGGATCCTATGCATGAGTACTTTCTAGTGAAGATCACTATGAAATCAAAGATGGAGGCCCTGGAGGTTATAAGGCAGAATTTAGACCCTGAAACGGAAATGCCAATTTTGAGGGGATCTGTCTTGGGACATTTGATTTTGATGTCCGAAAACATGATGTATTTTGGAGTGTTGACACACTATCTACTTTTGAGGCAGATAGAAACAGAAAAGAAACATGAGTTGTGGTTCTTGGTTAACAGAAAGCTAGCTCGGTTCGGGATGAAGGAATTTGCTTTAATCACTGGATTGAACTGCGAGGAAATTCCAGAGCCGAACATGGTGTTGAAAGCTTCGAAGAAAATGGGATTGTTGGAGCATTTTAAGGCCCAAGTAGTACTTGTTGCTGATTTAAATAAATTGCTCACAGAGAACAAGATAAAAGGTAGCGATAAAGTAAAGATCGTTATCGTTTACTTTTTAGCACAAGTATTAATATCTGGGGATGAGAAGAAGACCGTCCCACTGGATTGGTTGTCGTATGTCGACGATTTAGATTTTTTTAACAACTATCCATGGGGTAAGGTGTCTTTTGAATGCACTCTACAGTCTTTGAGGAATAACCTGAAAGAGAAATTTTAGAAATTGGTTCGGAAAGGACGCAACAGGAGCATTAAGGAAACCTACTTAATGTGCGAGTTTTCTTGGGCCTTCGAGGTATGTCGTACAATTATATACATAACTTTTAATCATGGCCTTATAGGAAATAATACATAGTTTTTTGTTTTACTAGTCTTAAAAAATTTTATTTAACGCAAGTTTGGGCATTCGAAACTTTTTCAACCATCGGTGCCACGTTAACAAAGATGGTTGTGTTGGGAATGGTGTCCTAGAAGCATAAGATGTAAGAGGATACTTATTATTTATTTAATAAAAGAGTTTATTCATCATTTTATGTGTATATATTTGTGAATATTTTGTGAATATCAATAAAAATTCCATGATTATTTATGTGACCTTAAACATTGTATATAAGTGTTATATGCGAGAGGATAATGTTTAAGGATAATAATCAAAAAGCAATGTTCATAATGAATTTAATTAAAGTTCAGAATCTTTAATTAAAACATTATTAATACATGTCATTCCCATTTAGAATGGAACGGTGTTATCCGCACTGTTAATATGGTGAGATATTGAATGAGTGTATTTCACATAATGAGATTATGTGGAATAAGGACACAGACACAATATGAATTTCTAATAATTTTCGTTAAGTATAGAAATTCTAATTGAGTCTACCGATGGTCATATATAGAATGATCTTAATCCTAAGTTCTTAACAGACTTCTATTTATGGATTTGTGTCTTTTGATTTACTCGGTACGGATTCTGAGATCCTGAATCATATTCCTTGTATTTTGGAGACATGATGAAGTAGGTAGCCGGAAATGTTATTATACAAGATAGAATCCATTCTTTCTTGAGAAGAAGTAGATAAATAATTCTCTTGAGTGTTGATTCGGTACTTGGACCAGTAGGAGCTCCGATTCATGAATGTGTTTTATGAATCACTGTCCATTAGAGAATAAATGGTA